ATTGAGGAAATAAGACTTATGGTGAGAAAGTAAGAACAGTACATGAATGGTCCAGTGAATATGTAAAAGATAAAAATAAACAAGACATCTATACAACAATGGCTATTTTCATTTTCCAGATGGCCCATGGTTGTACGTTTCCCTGGTCTGATTACAAAAGACTCTAGACAATCAGTGCATTCATTATTGATTTAATAGTTAATCACAATAATGAAAGTGCTGTTAGCACTGTGGATGGGAAGAGGGAAAGAACTGAGCTGACACACGCATTTGTGCAGCAGCTGAGGCTTACTTAGCAGGCACTCAAGATTCAGAGCACAAGCATTTCTTCAGAAGCTGTTGCTGACACCCCTCACCCTGGCCCAAATCTGGCTAACATGACCTTTCTCTAAGCTCTCAGAACCTCTGCTCTCCTCTACTGAAGCATTACTCCAATGAACTGAAATTATCTTAGGGCAGGACCCCATCCCTTCAGCATTTTACCCTTCTGCCAAGCATCATCAAGCTTCCATTCCATACCTGCTGAACAAAGTAATGCAGTATTGTTAGCCATGGCATTTCAACTTTTCTCTCTCCCACCTCATAGATCCTTAAAGAGATCATGCCTCAGGGTTAGAAGAGAGCAAAGGCCATCAAGCCCCACTCCCTACAAATCTTACATCCTCATCACATAGTTGCTGGCATTCCATCAGCCTCTGCTTCCGCACAGCCAGCAACAGGAAGTCCACTGCCTCACAAGATGCTTTCTGGCAGCTGAAATTGTTTGAAAGTTCCTCCTCAAGCCGGGTCAAAATCTGTCACTGCTGTGAAAAGAGCAGGGCCAAGGACAAGAGGACTTTATACCTCACTAGACAAATCTGCCTCCCAACAGTTCTGAAGCACAAATCTATAACCTAATGTCACCAGTGCAGCCAGGTAGGGCACAACCTGGGAGCCGGGTGCAGAACTCTGGCTCTGCTTTTGCTAGCGTGCGACACCAGGCCAGTTACTCAACCTCTACAAACTACAGCTTTCTCATCTGTCAAATGAAGATAAATTGATACCCTACCTGATAGGACTGTTATAAGAATTAACCTGTAAACTATATTAGTTAAGGATCTTAGGTCAAAGTATCAGAAACACATCCGGAACTAGCTTAGCAAAAGAGGAGAATTATGTGGTTTTTGTGTTAGCTGGCCTTCAAGGAAAATGAAACCCAGGGACTTGAACACCATCAGTACACTCCCCACAGTGTTCTTCACTCTTGAACAAGTTTTCTGGAACTATGGCCACTGGCAGCATTACCAAAAATGATCTGTTCCCTTGGTATCAACTTGAAAATATCCAGAAGCAGACCTGTGCTTGTGTTTGCAGTCTGGGCTGGGTTATCACCCTTGCTGGCCACACTAGAACCTAAGACTGGGTAGAGATGGAAGGGACACATTTTTCAGAAAACGGTGAAAGGACTCCTAGGCAGACAAAATAACTGATGTTTTGTGTGAGTGGTCATTTAAATGTATGTATAATATTATAATAATCTCATCTAGTGGTTTCCAGTTTAGATTCCAAACCAGGTACACTACAAAAATAATTTAGGGGACAATAAGAGTTTTAAACTTTTTTAAAGCCATAGCTACTACCACCATCATTTTGTAAAAGAACATACTTACAACAAAGAAGTTAGGACATAAACTCAGAATAAAGGATAATCTTTCAAATCAAATAAATTTAGCCTTATAAAAGAAAGATGCACTCTTATTAAATTTCTCATTTTGACCAAGGGCTGGTAAAAACTTCACCCAGATCTGACACCAGGCCTGGCTGAAATTTGGGAACCACTGACCCAGGTCACAATCTTCTACCCTGTCCACAGGCAGCTTGGAGCTTACCTCAGGCCTTACTGTGATCAGGTACACTTTCTCCATCTAGCACAGAGCCTAGCATCCAGGAGATACACACATACTCACTGAACTGACCCACTAGTCCAGCAGCTATCAAAAAAAGACATGAGCAAAGTCTGGCAACATGCGCTCTTAATGAATACATGCTGGAACATAAATATATACATGTATACATTTTAAAATTCACACTCTATTTTCAAAAAGTATTGGAGTGATATCACACATATACAACACAATCATTAAAAGAACGAGATTCACGTAATGATGGGAAGATGAAGAGAAAGCCTACGCAAAGGCTACCTACCTTGACAGAGTACTATATTTCAATTCCAGGCATACATATAATTCTTTTGAGATGTTTGGTATAAAATAACACAATTTTCCTCTTACTCCTAAATTTGGGAGTTGGTCTGCCTGTGTGTGTGTACAGCCAAGGTAACAGTTTAAGCAGGTAGTCTGAGGCTCTTTTCATTCACTCACTCACTCAATAAACATCTTAATGTCTATTCCATTCCAGGCACTATGCCACCATTCAAGACCACAAAGTTAAATTAGCTACAATCTCCAGCTAAAGCAGTTTCATGAACCAGGAAAGCTGAAAATTACTAATATAAACCACAATCTAAATTAAATTACTAGTCATTTTCTTCTACTTTCTTAATAAAAGATGAGGATCATTTTAAATTAGCCTTGTTGAGTTGCAACAGAGCACATGGTTACTGCACACAAATAAACAATTGATTTTGTGTTCTAATTTTCATCTGCTTATTGAATTAAAAGTTCAAACTTCAGGCAAATGAAGTACGATATCCATGGACCCAAAGCATTATGCCAAAGCATAGCATGCAATACTATATCTCTGAACATTACTTCTTGTCATGTGTAAGGCCACATAGGTGACTTGGCCAAGTTTTTCTTGATTTCTGACCGTAATGAAGGCCAGAACTATATTATTCAATCCCTAACCATGTTTTTAGATTATCAGTACTTTAGTTACTTTCCACTTGTATTCCAGATTTCATGAGTAGAATAGTAGTAGGCTGCAGGTTAGAGGTTCTAGTGGTAGTCAGAGACATGACATGAAAGGTGAAGCCAGGAAATAGAGGCCATGATGGGGCAGCCAGACAGAACACAACCAGGAAGAGTGCGGGAAGGCCAAGATGAGAAGGTAAGAACAGGAGCAGCCAGGAAAGCAGGCAAAAGACATTAAGATAATTCAGGACTGGCTAAATGTTCTGTAATTACAAGTCAGGTACAAACAGAATGGTGGATGACAGCCATCACGTATGGACGTACAGATTTTAGCTGTGACATGGATTCAACACAAGAAAAATTAACACAGGCCAGAGAATTCCTTTGTAAACTAAAAAAATCCAGATTTTGCTGCTATTTCTAGGACATGTAAACTACTTACATTCAAGAACTGGGTTTAAAATCTTCCCAAGAAAAGTAAGACTTTTCAGTAGAAAGGTAAGATTTTAGTAATTTTACAGTGTGGATAACTCTTCAATGAGAAAGTTCTTCAAGATTATTGATATTTAGTAACATTTTTCATAAGCATATCTTAAATTTAAAAGCTAATTAAAGAAAAAATCAAGCAGTAGCATTTGTAGCAAAGACCATGTTGTTTATCAGTGTCATGTGATAGTACTGAGAGGAGCGAATCAAAGCCTAAGAACCAGGCCTGTTCAAAGTAAAGGAAGCTAAAGTTCAACGCTCACAGGCACTTATTCAAGATGAGTACTGTTTCCCATCACTGCCTTTTAAATGCCTGGAGTGACTAAGACTGAAACAGAGCACACACAGGGAGCAAGGGTTACTTAGTAATTCTATTGTTCACTCTGAGGAAAGTATAAGAGATTAATTAGTACAAAGTATTTGGGTAAAAAGCACTAAAAAAAAAAAAAAAAAAAAAAAATTCAAGGGAAAATACTTACAACTCCCATAATAAAGTTTTTAAAAACTTTGAAGAGTTAGCATCTACCATATGGAAGCAAAGGCTGATGTTTTTATGTTTGTCTCTTTTTAATATTTACAATTTTTAAGTTTCCATGTTTGTTCAGTTACTACCTACAAAGTTCTAATTATTTTACTAGATTTGGCTTTAAGTAGTGACTCCAAGATTTCTAAATGTTGATAGTAGCCACACAAAGTGGTATTTGATTATATTTCAGGTTTAAAATAGGCTTTCCTAAGTATCTGGCAACTTCCCCCAATAATCATATTAAACAACTGACTTTCCTAATTATTATACAATTGCTATCCAAATCAAAATATCAATCAAATAATACTTTATATGCTCTAAAACTAAACTCCCGTCTACCACCAATCCTACCTCTGTCTCTAAGTTCCTCTAAGGTAAATTTTTATTCTATAGTAGTGATTCTGAACAGGGAGAAGATTTGGTCCCTTAGAGGTGCCTACCTCCACAAAAAAAGATTTGGCAATGCCTGGAGACATTTTGGTCATGGCAACTAAGTGTTGGGGGAGGAAGTACTAAAGGCATCTAGTGTGTAGAGGCCAGCTATGCTGCTAAACACAGGAAAGCCACCCACAATTATCTGGCCCCAAATGCCAGTAGTGCCTCTGTTGGGAAACCCTGTTCTAAACAGAAACAAGCAAATTTGCAAATACAGCTGACAACAACAATTGCCAAGTAAGTAATTTAAAGCTTTGTGACTGATACAGAGAAACAGACATAATAAAAGTTGCTTTTCATACCACCAAAAAACATTAAAATGATGATGTGACTATTAATCACTAAGTTAGCATTAAGTTAGAGAGGGACATGAAGAGCAAAGAGTATTTTTACTACCCAAGCAATTAAAGACATATTTCCTTTCAAAACGAATATTTCAGAAGACAAAAAAGAAAATGAGGTATTGATATCCTTGGCAATTTTCTAGGAAGCTTTAAACACTTAAGGATAAACACCAATTAATCATTACTTTTTGTTGCTGTTGTAGTTCTCTAATCAACTCTCCTCTCAGTCATTTGATTTTTAACTGGGGAAAGTTTTAAATAAACAGAGGAGAAAAGTTAACCACACAATACTAGCGGGTAGAATAATTTTAGACCAAAACACATTATTAAAGTATCAGTTAGAACTATAATGTTTACCTGGCAAAAGGACTGGCTCCAGTTTTTTAATCTTCGGTTCCGAATTGACCTTATCGTCAGTCTGAAATACATTACCAAAATAAATCGAAAATCCAAATTTCTACCCCTAAGATACTAAAGCATATTTTCTGTTTTCTAAAGTGCTGACACATGTGACAGACATGTATCCCCCTCCGCCCCCCTAAACTCTGTCACTTCTTAACCGAGCTCCTTTTAAGATCTGCTCATTACCGACTTGGAAACCTGGCATTAAAAATACTAAAACTGCCTGTGCCGCTTCCTGGTGTTCACATTTATGACAGTCAGGCAACCTCCTCTACCAGGTGCCCACAGACGCTGCAATCACGCTGGCGATCACAGTGGGGACCGTGGCCGGGCTAGGAACTAAATAAATCCAGCCCTGTACGCTCCCTTGGGTCTAGTCACGGCAAGACTACGAACGACAGGACTTCGAGCAGAGTGGCAGAGGAGCTGTTTCTACAGAGCCAGTGGAGGCTCCCGAGAAGGCGCGTTTCCCAGCGCCGGAGCACGGGCGACCGCGCGGCTGGGGGCAGGGACACGGGCGCAGCCTCCCGGGGCGCTTCTGCTCCCGAGTCCGACCCGGCGGCTCCCCGGAAGGCCAAGGAGAGGGGCACTCGCGGAGAGAGGGCTGTTTACCTGGGGCGGCGGCAGGAGGTAGGACCTGAAGGTGGGTCTGGGCGGCTTGAGGGAGAACATGGTGGTGCCGCCTTTTCGCCCCGACCTCTTCGCGGGCCAGCGGCAAACTGACGCCTCCCGACACCTCCGGACTTAGGAGCTCCCTGTGCGGCCACCCAGGCCCCGTCTGCGGCCGGCCCGGCCGGACGGACTGACGGGCGGGGACACGGCGGAGCGCCCGCCCGAGCGGGGAGGAGCCTGGACAGAGCCGCACCGACGCGGGCTCCGGGGCCCATCCCCGGAAGGGGCCCGGCGCCCGGCCCCGAGAGACAGCGCGCGCAGGCCGGCGGCCAGCCGCTCCCGGCCTCTGGGCTGCGCTGGCGCCGGAACGCAAGGATTGCGCTGAGCGCCCGCTGCCAGGCCCTCACCGAAGGCACCGCGGGGAGCGGAGGCGGGCTGCCATCTTGAGAGCGCGGCCTTACAGGGCGCTCCTACGGCGGCCCACAGGGTTCACGGCGGCCCTTGGGGACCTACGGCGGCCCGCTGGGGCCACGACGGCGGCGGGAGGCTGCCTGACTCGGCAGCGCCGGGTATCCTCTGTTCTGAGTGCCTCGCGGGCGCTGTCTTCCTGGGACAGCTCCCTTGACTGCTGTTCTGTAGTCATCTGGCCTGGGCGGAAGTCCTCGGGGAGGAGCCCGGGGCGGCAGGAAGGGGACTTTGGGGCCCTGGAATCAGGCAGTCACACTGTCTGCGCCTGGTGTGTGAGGGACCAGCACCGATGCAGCCAGCGGTGACCAGGTTCAAAAGTTCAGCGCGGTCCGTACCGCATGTGATAAAGCGCCCTCCAGAGTTCCCACACTTGGGGAAGATTTTCTCCCATCACTTCGTCTGTTGTCTTTGAGACAGGGATGTTGAGCTGACCGATGGTGTCAGTGGGATGCTGAGGCTTGGATGTGCTCAAGTGAGGACTGGACAGATGACATTGGCAGGCAGCCCAGACTCCTCAGTTTAGTTCATTAATTTGTACCCTCCTTATTAAATTTTAATGTGGGAAAAGATATTAAGCACGTTGCCTTCCTTTCTTTTCTTGCCCATTCTCACATGTAAAGATGCGAACTAATAAGCAGATAAATGACCAAAAGCCCAGCAAGAGTAGGGCCTTAGCGGTGTGGGGGGCTTCGATAAACTATGGAACCGAAAATCTGGCCATTAATTGCAAAGAATAGACGAATTCCAGCATATCAAGCGCAGGGCATTTTTGAACTTACATTTCCAAACTGAAGCAGCCTTTGGTAGAAGGAGGCGAGTGGTGTTACATTTTGATGACTCTATTACTTAACACTAGACCCTTATACTTTGAAGAATAAAATCCCAATCCAGCATTTTATGATTAATGTCACAGGGAAGCACCGATGTAGCCATACCAATCACAATCATACTGACAAGTATTGCTAATAGAAACAACCAACAATTTAAACAAAGATTCAGAAAGTTGGTCTTTTTCTGAATATAGATTATCCTGGGTTCAGAACACTACTGATCTTTCAGTTTAACCTGTTTGAGTAACACATGATTCCATTTTGCCCAGGAACCATAATTGTACTTTAAAATGTTAATTCCATTGGATTATAGGTATTAAAAACATTTGTGCACACATTTTATATTTTTATGAATATTCTGTTATTCCTTTACATTAAGTGGATTTTTTCCCCACAAATGCTCATCAAGCAATGTGTGAGTTTTTCTTTATAATATTTTTTAAAAATTGAAACATAATTGATTATACGTATTTGTGGGGATCAGAGTTAAATATCAATACCTGCATGCAATATGTGATGCTCAAGTCAGGATAATTAGTATACTCATCATTACAAAACATAATCATTCTTTGTATCCATTAACCAATTTCTCGCTAACCCCCGTCCTCTCCCCCTTTCCCACCTCTAGTAATCACAGCTCTGTTCTCTCCTTTTGAAAGTTCAACATGTTATTATGGTTGTTCTATCTTTCTTTCTTATTTATTTTTTAGCTCCCACTTATGAGTGAGGACACGCAGTATTTTTCTTTCTGTTCCTGGCTTATTTCACTTAATTTTCTCCAAGCTCATTCATGTTGCTGTGAATGGCAGAGGTTCACTTGCTGTGTGCTAGGCATTATTCTAACTTTATTTTTTTTTTTCCTTTTTGTCTTTTTTCGTGTCCGGCAACGGATCGCAACCCTCAGTGTCGCGCCCGTACCGGACTGGGACCGGCAACGGGATCGCAAACCTCGGTGCTGCGCTCGCACCTCGCTCAGCCAGTGAGCGGGAACCGGTCTGTATGTGGGATCCGAACCCTCGGGGGGAGCGCCACCATGCTCCCAAGTGGCGCACTGTAGCAGTGCGCCACTGGGCCGGCCCTCTAACTTTATTTTTTAATTGATACTATTTTCTTACATTCTATGATGTTGTTGCAGAGCAGTTGGGAGGGAGAGGGAGTGGGGAAAGGGGAAGGAAATGTGATGGGAGAAGGAGGAAGGAGGAGGGGCAGGATTGAGCTCTTTGGCACCCCCCCCTCATTCCCACAGGGGTGACCGGAGGGCTTCCAGTGGTGGCTTGGTCATTGCTGGGCTGGGTGCAGATATCAGGGGTTGTGGCAAAAGCTGTCACCCCCCACCACCCCAACTCAGAAACCCGGGGACCTTCTTGCTGCAGCTCGGTGGTCATCACTGGGGTGGTTGTGGGTGTCAGGGGGTGTGACCGAGACCCTCGGCCCCCAACTGCCCCAGCAAGGAGAGCCTGGGGCACTTCCTGCGGTGGCTTGGTGGTCATCATTAGGCTGGTTGCTGCTGTGGGGGGGGGGGCATGGCTGAAGCCCCCTGTCCCTCCCCTCTTTCTGGCTTGGAAGCCCAGGGGACTTCTGGTCCTTCTAGGTGTTATAGGTGTTCTTTGGTGGAATGAAACCTTTACTAGTTAATATCAAACTTTGTCTCCAGTTGTGAGTATTTTGTTTTTTCTTTCAGTTCTGTGTTGGATTATTTGTTGTTTCCACCACTTAAACTCTGCACTGGAACTAATTTGTTGTCGTTTGCTTACTTCTAAAACGGGGAAACTTCCTGTGGGGACCAGTACTTGAGCTCTGCGGTTGAGCTACATTGCTGCTTTGCTGCTGATTCTCTAGGGAAGTCTTTTTGTGCAGCTCAAGTTGTAATGGTTGACTTTACAGGTACTTCCAGGTTTAGTGAAATCCAGAGCACCAGGGTTGTATAGAAACACTAGTCTGGGCCTGATTATTTTCGTCGAACTGCACCCCATGCAATTCTATATTCTTGACCCATCTCCTCTGAGTGGTCCTATGCTAATTGTGGGGCAGATCAACTGTCCTTGCTGTGCGCCAGTGTTCCCCCAGTGGGCCTGTCTCTCCCACCGCCCGTGCTCCAAATACTTCCCATGGGACAGGCCATGCTCTGATCCCTTGTGATGACTCCCAGGCTGGAGCTGGTGAGCACATAGAGCAGGAGCTGGCAAAAGCTGCAGCTGTGCCCTTCATATGAAGCTGCTTGGAGGCAGCAGGGGAGAAGAGGGCTTTGTTGACCCCCAAGTCAGCAAGACCACTAATAGGGTTCCCGTGGACCACATAGGAACAAGGAGCCACAACAACTGAAGAAAAAGAGTCACTGAGAAGGCTTTTTGTGCAGCCCAGGTTTTAATTGTTGACCTCATATATATTTCTGGGTCTTGAGAGGTCCAATACACCTGGGTTGTATGGAAACTCTGGTCTGGGCCTGAGACTTTTCAGCAAATTGCACCCCCTGCAGATCTGTATTCCTGACCAGTCTCCACTGAGTGGTCCTGCACTGATTGGGGGGCAGATCAGCTGTCCATGCTGTGTCCCAGTGTTCCCCTTGTGGGCTGGTCTTCCCCACCGCCCACACTCCAAACACTTCTTATGGCACGGGCCATGTGCCGGTCCCTTGCAGTGACACACAGGCCTCTGGGGGGCTCCTTTTCTTCAGTTGTTGTGCTTCCTTGTTCCTATGTGGTCCACGGGAACCCTATTAGTGGTCTTGCTGACCTGGGGGTCACCAAAGCCCTCTTCTCCCCTGCTGCCTCCAAGCAACTTCATATGAAGGGCACAGCTGCAGCTTTTGCCAGCTCCTGCTCCGTGTGCTCACCAGCTCCAGCCTGGAAGCGGCCAGGATTTGAAATGGTTGGAGCAGTTCTTTCTTTCTCTCATTGTGACTTCTCCCACCTTCATGTACTCCAAAGGTCTCTCCTCCTCTTCCCCTGAGCTCTAGTGGCCCTACCTTGGCTGTTGTTGTTTTTTAATAGTTGTAAATTGGTTGATTTGTGGGAGACAGTGATGCTGGGGACCATCTATTCCACCATCTTGACTGGAACCTGTCATTGGTATTTTGACAGAGATTGCATTGAATCTGTAGATTGCTTTGGATTGAATGGGCATTTTCACAATGTTAATTCTTCCAATCCAAGAGCATGGAATGTCTTTCCATCTTTTGGGGTCCTCTTTAATTTCTTGCAGCAATGATTTGTAGTGTTCATTGTAAAGGCCTTTCACCTCCTTGGTTAAATTTATTCCTAGGATTTTTGTTTTTGTTTTTTTTAGGGGGGTCACTATTATAAATGGGCTTGCTTTCTTGATTTCTTTTTCTGCAAGTTCATTGTTGGAGTGGGTAAATGCTACTGATTTTTACATATTGATTTTTTATCCTGCAACTTTACTGAATGCATTGATCAGGTATAACAGTTTTTTGGTGGTCTTTAGGTTTTTCTATATATAGGATCTTGTCATCTGCAAATAGGGATGATTTGACTCATTTTTTCCAATTTCATGCCCTTTATTTCTTTCTTTTGCCTGATTGCTCTGGCTAGTACTTCCAATACTATATTGTATAGCAGTGGTGAGAGTGGGCATCCTTGTCTTGTTCCTATTCTTAAAGGAAAGGCTTTCAATTTTTCCCCACTCAGGATGATGCTGGTGGTAGGTTTGTTGTATATGGCTTTTATTGTGTTGAGATATTTTCCTTCTGTACCTAATTTGCTGAGAGTCTTTACCATGAAGCAATGTTGAATTTTGTCAAATGCTTTT